TACCACTACGCTTTCTGCGACCACCACCACTAGCTTCTAGTACTACTCCTTCTGGTGCCCTACTACGACTTCTACCATCACCACCACCGCTTTTACTGTACTTCTACTGCTGATGCGACTACTTCTACTACTATTACTATTGCTACTACTACTACTACTACTACTACTACTACTACTACTACTACTACTACTACTACTACTACTACTACTACTACTACTACTACTACTACTACTACTACTACTACTACTACTACTACTACTACTACTACTACTACTACTACTACTACTACTACTACTACTACTACTACTACTACTACTACTACTACTACTACTACTACTACTACTACTACTGCTACTACTACTACTACTACTACGACGACGACACGACGACTACTACTACTACTACTACTACTACCACTACTACTACTACTACTACTACTACTACTACTACTACTACTACTACTACTACTACTACTACTACTACTACTACTACTACTACTACTACTACTACTACTACTACTACTACTACTACTACTACTACTACTACTACTACTACTACTACTACTACTACTACTACTACTACTACTACTACTGACTACTACCACTACTAATCCTACTACTACTACTACTACGACGACGACGACTACTACCACCACAATTATGACAACAATTTTTTAGTAATGTTGCTAGCGCTGGCGCTACGCAGGTTTAATATTCACATTCTGAATCTCAGAATTCGAGTATTCGTATCATTGCTGGTCTGGCAAATACCAAAACTGTTACGGCTAATGCGAGTACTACTGCTAATCATCACCCCGCTACTACCAGTAACCGAACTACGAACGTGGGTACGAATGTAAATGCGAATGCTAGTACGAATGCTGGTAGTGATACAGATGCAAATGCTCCCAGCAGCCCGACGTGGGACAACCCGGGCGAACGCGAACCAACGTCGCCTGGCCGATTCATGCAAAACGGGCAAAGCACTAGCTACTGCCTCAGACACGCTGTAAAACCCTCACAGACAAGCCGCTTGCGCAAAAATAGTGGCGGCCTCTTTCTCAACGTTTGTGGCATCCGGAAACCGTCTCCCTGCCCCTGGCACCGTCAAAAAAACGCCTCGGGGCGAAAGCGCAACATCACATCGCTCGAGGTCCGGGTCCCGGAGCGCAGCCGAGGGCTCGGCGCTCGGAGCCCGGGGGGCCTCTCCCAGCACTGGCAGACGGACGGCCCGGCAGCACGAGGAGGAGCAGGAGCGCGGCGGCCCCGCATGTTTGAGCCGCCCTCGGCCCCGGGGGCATCGGGACGTTCCAGAGGAGGTTCGGAGGTTCCTGCGTGTTCCTCCAGGGATGTCGGGAGGTAAGACACCAAAAAACGTGCTGTGCCACACCCTTCCCCCTCCTCCTCCCCATCCGTCCTCCGTCCGGAGCCCTCTCCTTTTCCCCTTCTTCTGCTCATCATCCTCATCCTTCCTAATCCATCTTTTACTCGTCCTCTTGCTTCTCCTCCTGACATCCTCCTCCTCCTCCTTCTCCTCCTTTCCCTCCCTCAAAGTTGATCCCTGGTACCGCCTGAGGCGCGTTCCGACAAAGACCTTGAGGTGCATCAGACGGACCCCCCAGGAGGCAGAGAATCAAAGATCCTGAAGGACAAATCCAATATCGAGTTCGAACGGCCTTCTACTTGCTATCGCCTCCCCGTCCTCGTTCTCCTCCTTCTCCTCCTCCTCCTCCTCCTCCTCCTCCTCCTCCTCTTCCTCCTCCTCCTCCTCCTCCTCCTCCTCCTCCTCCTCCTCCTCCCCCTGCTTCCCACCTGCCTCTTCCCTCCTCCAAATTCCAACCCCCACCTCCTCCCTCGCTCCTCATACTTCCTGCTTCTACATCCTCCTCTTTCTCCTCCGCCTCCTCCTCCAACTTCCTTCCTCCCTCTGAATCTTCATTCTCCCTGCCTCCCTCCCCAAACCTCTCGGGCCGGCGCACGACCTGCCCTGCTGAACTCCTCGCACTGGCCCATCACCCAGTCCTGGGGGCGGGGAGGCACAACCCGCGGCGACTTCCAGCTCCCCCGCTGGGGCCCTGACTTCCGGCAGGGCCGCGCCAGCTCACCCGACGACACGCTCGATGGACTGGCGTCGTCGTCGTCGTCGTCGTCGTCGTCGTCGTGCTGCCAGACTTGGGCACGCCGTGCAGCAACCGCAGAAGTCATCGCCCGCCTCTGGCAGCCGAAGCGCTGTCATCAGGAACCCTAAAAAAGGGAGCGAGGCCAGTTTTTTTCCGTAGCCTGGGGAAACCCTGACACAAAGTGTAAAATTAGCCTGGCGAAGAACCAAACCATGTGCACTTGTAGGTACAGCCGTTGTGTACACCGCATTCGGTGGGGCTCCATATGAGGGTGCGAAGCATGTGAGGGGTGTGCAAAAATGGGCGCTGTGCGCGCGTGCGAACGCTGGCATTTGCGCCTTCCGTGTGGCTCCCTATGGGGCCACAAAGCGTGTGAGGGGTGTGCCGATATGGGTGCGGGTGGCGCATGCGAACGCTGGTATTGGGGCCTTCGGTGGGGCTCCATATGGGGCCGCGAAACGTGTGAGGGGTGTGCCAAAATGGGCGCGGTGGGCGCATGCGAACGCTGGCATTTGGGCTTCGGTGGGGCTCCCTATGGGGCCAGGGGTGTGCCGATAAAGATGCGGTGGGCGCATGTGAACGCTGGCATTTGGGCTTTCGGTGGGGTTCCCTATGGGGCCGCGAAACATGGGAGGGGCGCGTCAAAATGGGTGTGGTGGGCACATGCGAACGCTGGCATTTGGGCCTTGGGTGGGGCTCACTATGGGGCCACGAGGCGTGTGAGGGGGGTGCCAAAACAGAGACATGCGGAGAGCATATGCAAGGAGGGGGAGGAGGGAGGATGGGGAGGAGGAAGGGAGGAGAGGAAGGAACACAGGGCGCTGTCTCTTCAAAACGAAGACCCAACACCACAAGACGCTTGGGAACAATTGAGGAACACTGAGCCCCCCCCCAACGAAACCGGTTCCTTCTTCAGCGGCCCGACTGTAAACTGCTAGAGGGCCGCGCGGATCTCTTGGACCCGCGCCGGACCCTCCTCCCTGGCGCGCGGAGCGCGCCAGGAGCGAAGCCGGAAACGCCGCCAGGGGGGACCAGGCGCCGATCCAAGAAATCCGCGCGGAGCGACGATAATTCATGTTTATGCAAGTGTTTGTCCTTCGAGCAACCTCTTCCTCCTTCCCCTCGCATCTGGGCGTCGTGGACAAAATGACAGCGGGCGTTCGCACTCCACTTCCGGCCCTGGTGCCATCACGGGTGGGCCAGGCTCGCGCACACGTTCGTGTGGGCGGCCGAGAGCTCGGGTCGCGAGCTGTCGCGCTGTCGCTCTGTCACAGACGTCGGCTGTCAACGCCCTTCTTCCTCAGAGGGAGCTGCATCTGCAAGCCCCGAGCCAGCAACGAGCCCACCTGGGGGACCCAGATCTCATCCTCCGTCATACTTCGAGCCCCGAGCCCTCATCCTTCCTTCCTCCACCCAAGAGACCAAGGGCCGCAGCGGGGCCAAGACCTCGGCGGATTGATCTGCCTGATTTGGGCCGTGTCGTGTCGTGGCAACCTCGATCTTGGCACAAACCACCGAGCGGGTCGCTCAGCCCTGAGCGATCGCAGCTTCCCGACAGCACAGATTGCTGGGCCGCTTGCGGCGTTCAACCTGGACATCGGCGGCGCGCCCAGGGGGGGAGGGCAGAGGGGGCGGGCCTTCTCAGAAGGCTCAGAAGGCCTCCCGCCTTGTCAAAAAGCTTGCTCCCGTCTCCGAAGCCCCGCCGCCATCTGAGAGAAAGCCTGCTCCCCTCTCTCGTTTCCGCCCTCGGCGCGACGCCGACCGAACGCTCTCGCTGGGGTCGCTCGCGCTCGAACGCTCGCGCTCGGCCACGAACCTGCCGTGCCTCCCAGCTTCTGGAGAGCACCCCGAAGCTGGAAAACCGCCGAGAACCGACGAGGGCGTCGGAAAACCTCCACCCTCGACACCCAATCGCCGCGACCCTCCAGCCCGCCAGCTCGGGCAATGCCAAGGGGGGGGTCACCACTAGGGTCGCCGCTTCCTCTAGGGAACGTCAATTCCTTGAAGAAGGGGGCCCTCAAGAACACGTCAGAACCTTCCACAACGAAACGAAACGTCCCACCAACCTTCTCGAGCGTCGATCCTGGAACATCGATGCCCAGGAACTGGCGACCCTCCAATGATCCTCGTCGTCCAGTTTGGGGGACCATAACTCGGGTCCCCGTCGGCCGCTCGGGACGATCTGGACACCCCCCGACGCTTCTCGGCGAGGCTAGGAAGCCGTCGCGAGCCGACGAAAACGTCCGAAAATCTTAAATCTCAAGCTCCAATCGCCACAACCCTCCACCTGGGAGCAACGCCAAGGGAGGTCAACACTGAGGGGGGGCCACATGTTCCTTAAGGAAATGGGCTCCCAAGAACACTCCAGAGCCTCCCAACACGCCACCAAATGTCCCAAAACCTCTGGAGCTTCGATCCTGGAACCCCGATTTCCAAGAGGAACTGGTGAATCGCCCCTCTCTCGTCGCACACCTCGCTCTCCTCGATTGCCCGAAGGAGGAACCCCGACACCTCCCCCCCTCGCCGCAGACCCCACACCTCGAACCCCCTCGAACCCCAATCCGGGCCGCGCCAGCAGGGGGGGGGGCGCTCCCGCGTGTGGCGCGTGCCGAAGAGCGCCAGCGGGCCGTGCAGGCGGGCGTACTCGAAGAAGCGCGGGCCGCCGGCGCCGCACGCGCCGCAGCTGCGCAGGTCGGCGTAGACGCAGCCGTCCGGGAGGCCGTCCTCCTGCCGGCGGCGCGCAGCCCACGAGAAGCGAGCACGTCCACATCCATCGGACCTCCTCCTCCTCCTCCTCCTCCTCCTCCTCCTCCTCCTCCTCCTCCTCCTCCTCCTCCACTCCTCCCCCTCCTCGATCGTCGATGTCCTCCTCCTCCTCCTCCTCCTCCTCCTCCTCCTCCTCCTCGATCGTCGATGTCCTCCTCCTCCTCCTCCTCCCCTCCTCGATCGTCGATTCAATGAGGAGGAGGTCGTGCCCCCCCTGCTGCTTACCATGTAGGACCTGCATTAGAAGAGAAACATGCCGTGCACGGATCCACCATCTCTACAATCTTGTGCTGCGCCGAACGCAACTGCCACGTTGTCTACAGACGCATCCACCCCGAATGTGTCCATACACGTAGACGCTTGCAGCTCGAAAATGACAGGGGTATTTGGCATTTGCCCAGAATTACCTGGTCTTCTGGCGGCTGGTACGCCCAAGATGCTGCTTTTCTAGAAGCCGGTCTATCAACGCCCTCGCGGTCCTTCTTAGAATGGCCTGGGGCCGTCCGAGAAGCCTCTCGAACGCCAGGGAGAGCTTCTGCGACGCCCCCCGCCCTCTCAGAAGCCCCCCGAGCCTTCTGAGAAGGCGCGAGGGGGGCCGCCGTCTGAGAAGGTCGTCCCCTCGCGCCCCTCGCAGAGTGGGGTCTGAGTGGACGGGGTCGGAGGGACGCGCGGCATCGCCGATGCATCGCCGATGCGTCGGCGATGCACCAGGGACGGCCGCGATGCATCGGCGCCGTCGGCGTGGACAGAGTGGGGCTCCACATCGAGACGCATCGCCGATGCATCGGCGATGCAGCGGGATCCTCCGACTCCATCTCAGCTCCGACCCCATCTGGGAGGCCTTGAGCACAGGATGGAAGGCAGGAGCAGGAGCCGTCTCGGACGAGAAAAAGGAACCAATGCCGCTGTTCCTCGTCGCAACGGCTGGATCCGCCTGGTCGTGAAGAAAAAACACTACGGGATGTGTTTGGCCAGTTTCGGTATGGCGTGGGGCCGTAAACTGCAGGTCCCGATCCCCTCTGCGTGGAACAGAGCTACAACCCGAAGGATAGAAGGCGGTCCTCTTCTAACCGGGACGTGCGTCTGAATGGCAGGCCAGTCAGGCGTCGGTCCTTCCAAGGGGCGTCTGTCGTAGTGAAAACGAAGGCATGTGAGGAATATCAGGCAGGGCTTGGGACGGGAGGGTGTGTTGCAGCAGTGCTGATGCGTCCTGGATGTTATCTCGTCCTTCCCTCCCCCCCTCCCGTACCCCTCCACAATTACTCAACACTTAAACGATACGCAACATTAGTATTCCTCTCGTCTCTCCCCCCAAGAACTGTATGTTTGCTCCCGCGCCGAACCGTATATGGTTGTTCACGAAGGTTTGTACAACTATTGCTTCTCGATGTTGCGGTTCCTATCAGGCCTCTTCAGCGCTGGCAGAGCTTAAAGATTTGCGCGGCGCCCCCGTACAACGGAAGGTCGCGTTCGCCGCATCGGCGGCCGATTTCTTACATCAGCAAAAATAGTGTTCTCGCTGATGTGGTTGCCACGTTTTCGAAGTTCCATGGGTGGTCCACGCCATGGAACGTTGCTGAAACGCAGGCCGTACTGGCAGCATTCGCCACATGTAAAGATTTCAATCGAGCCCCCCCCCCCCTTCTCCTTGTCCCCCCTCTGGTTTCCTCCCCGTCCCAAACGTCCAAAGGTCCATTGTTCTTTCCTCCCCCTACTCTTCTTGAGCAGTTGCCTCATTCTCCCTCCCCGTGCTTCCTTGTATTCCTCTTCGCCCTCCTGAGTAGCACCTCCTGACCCGTCAGTCAACGATCCTCTTCCCTCCTCCGCCTCTCCGCCTCCTTCATGTCCATCACAGTTCCGCTCCATCTCCTTCACGCCCCTCCCATCTCTTCATCTCCAGGGCCCTCTTGGATAACGTTGCCTTTCGGGTGTCCATGTATGGTTAGTCGTTCGGCTCTGCGGAAAAAGGGGACTCTAATCTATGGTGATGGATGGGAGTGAGGGATCTGATCTCAGACATGGCGCGAGCGCACCAACCTTGACATGAAATACGCCTCTCCTCTCTCCTCCAATACTGTCTGAATTCTCCACCGCCTGCCCCGCACACTGCTTGTTGCACACAGGATGTCCTAATTTGAAGGGGGTGTCGATGCTGATTTCGTATGAGGCCGTTCTCTGCACTTCAAAACTTATGCTGAAGCGTTGGCCACACTCAAGAACGTCGCTTGAGCATCCGTCCAAAGGGGCGACGCACTCGGCCCGGCGCTGGACGTAGCCTTGCATCGGCAAGCGTGGCATTCTAGCTGAAGCGCTTGCCACGCTGCAGGATTCCCACTGGGCTTCCGCTGCATAGAACGATTCTCGCGCTGCACCGCTGGCCGTACCCTTGCACCAGCCAGAAATATACGGTCGGGAGCTTCGATTCGCGTGTCGCGGCGGCGGTTGGCGTGTCGCTCCGCCCCGCGAGGCAGGGGCTCGGGGGAGGCTCTGAGCGCCGACGCCTGGGAGCCAGGACGGGGTTGGCGTGTCGCGGCGAGGCGCGGTGGGACAGGACCGGTGAGGCGACACGCTGGGCAAGCGCTCCCGACTGCGCAAATCCCTGGCAAGCTCAGTCTCACGAGGCGACCCTCCCGCTGTGGCGCTGGCCGTGCTCCTGCATCAGCAGGGGCGGTGCTCCCGATGCAGCGTCTGTCACGGTTCAGATCGCAGGGGTCCATGCCTCCTGCGACGTTCGACCCTGCGAGTAGTAGGGAGCTCAACCCCACGAGGAGGCAGGGGGGGAGGGCAATGAGCCCACCGGCATTGTCCTCCTCCCCTCTCCCGAGTCCCTCCACCCTCATGCTCAACGCGTCCTCCCCGCACTCCTCCTCCCTCCTCCCTGCCTCATCCCTGCGGCCTCATCCTCCGTGCGTGCTCCCCTGCTCTCTCCCCCCTTTTCTCTCCCTCATCGTCCTCCTCCCCCCTCCCCACCTCCTCCTCCTCCTACTCCTCCTCCTCCTCCTCCTCCTCCTCCTCCTCCTCCTCCTCCTCCTCCTCCTCCTCCTCGATCGTCGATGTCCTCCTCCTCCTCCTCCTCCTCCTCCTCCTCCTCCTCCTCCTCCTCCTCCTGCTCCTCCCGCGCAGGCGCTCCCGCAAGCGCTCACACACGCGCGGGGCCACGCGCGGGGTGAGGGGTTGGAGGAGGAAGATGCAGCGCGCGGGGGGGGGGGCGACAGAGGTAAGGCCCCAAGCGGGAGTGAAACCACGCAGGAATGCTGGCCAAAAAGTGCAGGCTGGAAATTCCACAGGCATGGAGGTGACCAGGGGAGACAAGGGCAGGCAGAAACAAATTGGGCAAGGTGGTCAGGGCTTGCAGAACTGCCAGAGACCTTGCCAGGATGGGTTGGAAAAAATGGAAGTGCTGGTCACAACTACCCAGTGGGCAACCACCCTTCCCAGCCTGAGGGAGGCCAGGACCCAGGCCAGAGGGAGGCCGAATGCCCAGGCTTGGTCAGCGGGTTCTCCGAGGCAACCTCTCTGACCAAACCTGGGCGATTCTGTCCATCCGTTTGGACGCGTAGGGCCCTATCCTTTGAAAAGATACACACTGCCCCAGTCGGACACCGCCTGCCACCCATGTGGCTCCCGGCTCGATCGGGGAAACCACGAGAGAGAGAGAGAGAGAGCAGACGCACTCGTTCTGCGAAGATGCGCGTACAGGTGTTGTACTCCAGCGCGTGTCGTGGCTCGTGGCACCACGCAGGCGCGCACGACACCCGTGCGGATCGTTGCCCTCGTCCGGCCGGCGCGCGCGCGCGCAAGCGTTGCAGCACGTGCTCGAATGCACGCCCTGGGCCGTGCAGGGGTTACTTGCACGGCGCAAGCGCGCTGAGGCCGGCGACTGGCTCGCGGAAGGCCCCGCCGAGGAGGAGGAGGAGGAGGAGGAGGAGGAGGAGGAGGAGGAGGAAGAGGAGGAGAGGGAGGAGCTGTGGGAGCTGTGCATGAGCGACAACGAACGTCGCATCCCCGAAGGGAGCACTTAGGCGAAAAAGTGCGACGGAACGGGACAAGGGCAAGACGCCTGGCCCACTCGCGGCCGCCTTCCTTGAGGCGGTGTGCCGCTCCGGTGGTGCTGCGAGGAGGCGACTTTTTGAGCTTCCGGATGCTCCAAACCTCGCCTCTGGAGCGACACAGGTCCTGATACCGCGGACCCCGCTGCGCCGACCCTGATCCTGCGGGCCGGCTACGCAGACCCAGGAGGGCAAACAAGTGCCACACCTGACATGAAAAAGAACGTGATGAGAGGGAGTCGAACCCTTCACCACGGAAAGCAACGGCCGCCTTCTTGTCTCCGCCGACTTGGGCCAGAACCCTGACAGTGTGCCCTCCGCTTAAGGTAGCGCCGGTGCCAGGATACGACACCGTGCCCCTGCGGAGGGCAGGAGGAGAGGGAGGAGGAGGAGGGGGAGGAGGAGGAGGAGGAGGAGGGGGAGGAGGAGGAGGAGGAGGGGGAGGAGGACGGCCCCCCCCCCGCGGGGCCGTCCTCGGGCTTGCAGGCAATCTGGCCAAGCACTGCAGAGGGTGCCTGGCGGACATGTCGCCGCCAACCGCCGGCGGGCATGCGCAGCCTCCTCCTCGTCAGCCTCCTCCCTGGCAAGCTGCAGCAGAGAGGAGTCCCCTTCCCGTCAGTTGGGAAGCAGACGATTCCCACGCACAGACATCAGCGAACGTTGCGAAGTGTGCCTGGCGGGATAAGGAACTCCGTCTGTCCTTCTCGTTGAAGCTGGCACCCGCCCATGTCATTCCTACGCAACTGTTCCCACGCCCAAGTGCGTCAATACCTCAAGCAATGCCACAGCTTCTGCCTCTGCTCAAGCTGCATCTTCTCAACCGCCGCCGCGGCCGCCGCTGCCTCATCCTTCATAATCATCAATCTTCCTCCACATTGCCTCCTGTTCATTCCCTCCCTCCTCATCCTCCCACCCCTCATCTCCCCCTCATTGCCCCTGCTCATCCCGCACTCCTCTTTCTCCCTTTTCCTGTTCATTATTCTTTTCATCCCCGCACATCGTTCCCGCTCACGCGTGCTTGGTCATCCTTCTCCGCTGCATGTTCCCAACATCCGCACGGCCTCGTCCGCATCATAACATCATCCCCCGGCCTCGTCGATTATACGCATGCCACCACACTCGTCGCCTTCACATAACAATTGGCAGTATCTGTGCTATCACATCTCTTCGCCCTTGGCACTTCCATCTTCAATCACCATTATTGGCACCACGTGCACCGTCGTTCATTATCACGGTCGCTGCTATCATCTTCACTTGGCTCACCCTCACCAGCACTCACATCTTCACTTGGCACACCCGCACCAACACTCACCCTCACCAACACTCCAACCCACAAGCTCACCTACACGCTCATCATCTGTACTCTTCCCTTGTTACCATTCGAACACTCGCACACACACATATACACACACGCAAACATACACACACACACACACACCTACACACACCGTACCAAAAAACAGGTGGGGGTGCCCTCCTTAAAGCACTCCAACCGTAGGCTTTGAATCCGAGCGGCTATTCGCACCCGCTTGGAAAACGAATGTGGACTGGACCTCCGCCTCTCTCACGAGACCCCCAGCTCGAACCTCAGGGCTCGAGGGGCCTCCAGCCGAAGGGCTTGAGATCCTAAGAGGTGGTCCCCTAGCGGTGTCGCTTCTTCGCCCTCCGAAGAAAGCTCCACGCACACACAAGAGGCATACAGGTGGGCCCCACTAGGCCCAAAGAGACAAAGAGAGAAGAAGACGAAGGGCAGAAAACGATGACGCCCAATACGACGAAAGACACCCCAACGCGACGCGGAAGACCGTGTCACATAACACGGCTGCACCACCCATGGAAATACGAGGTGTCACACATGACGGCCTCCTGGGCGCTCCTCGGCAGTCGCCACTCGGAGTGCTGAGCCGGCACGTTGACGGGAACTGCCGCAGGCTGCTGGAACAAGAACGACAGCAGCTGCAACTTCGAGCGATCCCCACCCGAGAACGCGAGGCTGGGACACACGAACCTACTGTACCAACAACGGCCCCCAGTCTTCGAACGACCCGACGACGGCGGCGGCCTTCGTGTCGCAGTGCTCGTCGCCGGGCTCGTGGGCGAGGCAGGCCTGTCGGTAGAAGCGGTAGCTGTGCTTCATGGCCGACAGGAGCGCCTGCATGTGCGCGCGCTGCTCGTCCTCGGCGAAGACGACGACGCCGACGACGACGGCATAGCATCGACGCCGCCGGCGACGACGACGAAGACGACGACAACGTCGACCAGGAACTTTCGCTCAGCGTGTCGCGGCGGCCACCCCAGCGACACGCTATGTCCTGCGAGCGGGGCGGGAGGCTGGGAAAGGCTCGGGGCGTTGACGCTTGGGGGCCAAGATGTGGATAGCGTGTCGCGCCGAAGCGTGGCGGGCCAGAACCAGCGAGACGACACGCTGAGACAAAGTTCGCGACCGCAGGCGTTGTTGGCCTCCTTGGGCCTCGGGAGGCCCCCACTGAGACCCCACGGGGACATGCAGAGATCTCTGCAGACCTCCGGAAACGACGATGACGACGACAACGGCAGCGGCGGCGGCCAACGACGACGACGGCAGCGGCGGCGACGCAGACGAACGACGGCGGCGGTGTACGTTGGCGGACAGCGGCGACGGCGACGGCGAAGGCGACGACGGCGACGGCGACGGCGACGGCGACGACGACGACGACGATGGCGGCGGCGGCAAAAGCGGTGGCGGCGGCGGGCAACGACGACGGGAAAGCTCCCCCCCCACGTAGAGAAGCCCCCCCCGAGGGGCGAAGCCCGAAGCCGCTCCCCCCGAGCCTCCGCCCGAGCCTGCAGCCGCCAGAGGCCGTGCCGACGTGAGCCTGCAGAGGGCCTCCGACGTCCCAGGGCGCGCCGCGGGCCTACGGCAACGCGCATGGGGCGCACTCGTACGGTCGGGACCGTTGCTTCACGTGCCGCGGCGGCGGCCCCGGCGACACGCGATGCCGTGCAGGTGGATGGCGTGTCGCTCCGCTTCACAGGCTGGCAGGGCGGGGACACCTTGCGGCGCTGATGCTCGGGAACTGGGAGGGCGCGGCTCGCGTGCCGCGCCGAAGCGTGGCGGGCCACAGCCGGCGGCGCGACACGCCAGGCCCTCCACAGGCCCCGCCTCCGGGCCGCCCCCGGACGCCCTCACGCCGATCTCGATCCGGCTCGAGAGGTCGCGCGGAAGCATCTGGGTCACCCCCCCCCTCCTTCGCGCCCTCGCGCCCCGCGGTGCGCAGCTCGCATGCATCCTCGCGCGCCCCCGCGCCCATCGGGCCGCCCGCCCGGAGAATGGCAACCGCTCTGGCCCAGACCGCGAAACGCGCGAAGCTCGGCTCCCTGCGCGATCCCGAAGGCGGCCTAGAACCATGGAGTCGGGAGCTCGTGTCAAGATGCTTTCGCGGCGTCGCGTCTTGTGTTAACGTAGTCGCGAGAACACCCCAGCCCGTGGGGAGCAACGATTACAACGCTGGCAGACGGCGATTGCTCCTCCTCCCTCTCCCGCTCTGTCTAGCTCTCTCTCTCTCTCTCTCTATTCCTCTCCCCTGCCCCTGCTCTTGCATGCCTCACATCGCACTGAGACGTCTGCCTCTGCAACGCTGTGGCGCGAAACCAACAAATCGGATGAACCACCGCGTGCTTTGCACCTTGGGCTGGGCCGCGAAGATTTCGCGACGCCGTGCCTTTGTTCACAGCGTCGAATCTATTTGGGAGGACCCGACCCCTGCTGGACACTTGAGCGCGCCCGGATGCACGCTGTGGCGCCAGGACGAACTCGGGTGCCGAATGTGCTCAGGGGGGAACCCCAGGGCACCGCCTCAAAATCACCTTGTCATCCTGCTTCTCCTCTAGCTGCTCATTGCCCTCGTCTTGCCTCTCCTCGTCCTCCTCCAACTCTTCCTTCTCCTCCTCCTCCTCCTCCTCCTCCTGATCCTCCTCCTCATCCTTTCCCGCTCCTTGACAGTCCTCCGCGACCTCGGTATGTAATGTGTCTCCCCCGCTTCCTCCCCGTCCTCCTCACTATCATCCTCATTCCTCACCTCATCATTCACATGCCCACTTCTCTGCCACCCTCGTCCTCCACCATGTCATCATCCAATTCAGCATCATCACACACATCAGCATTAACATCATAATCAGTTCCATCACCATCATCCGCACTAGCATCATCATCATCATCATCAGCAGCAGCATCATCAGCATCATCATCGTCATCATCATCCTCGCCATCATCCGAAGCATGATCATCAGCATCATCATCGCTATAGCCCATAATCATAATCATCAGCATCATCAGCATCCTCATCATCAGCATCGTCAGCATCATCGTCATTGTCACAGCCATCATCAGCATCATCAGCATCAGCATCATCGTCAGAAGCATTATGAGCATCATCATTATCAGCAGTGTCATCATTGTCGTCAGCATCATTGCCACAATCATAATCATCAGCAGCAGCATCATCATCGTCAGCAGCAGAAGCATCAGCATCGGCATCCTCATCGCCATCGACATCATCATCATCATCATCATCATCATCAGCAGCAGCAACAGTATCATCATCAGCAGCATCAACACCATCGTGGTCACAAACATCATCCCCAGCAGCATCATCACAAGCATCGTCATCATCGGCATCCTCATCATCCGAATCATCCCCATTACCAACAATACCATCCTCACCATCATCATCATCATCATCATCATCATCATCATCAGCATCAGCATCAGCATCATCATCATCCAGATCATCATCAGCATCATCATCAGCCTCATGATAATCGCCATCGTCATCATCAACAGCATCAACATTAACCTTATCATCGTCATCGTCATCGTCATCATCATCATCATCATCAACAACAACACCATCATGACCATTATCAACATCAACATCATTACCGTCATCAGCATTATCGTTGCCGTCACCATCACCATCGTCATCGTCACCAGCATTATCGGCAGTGTAAGCAGCATCAGCATCAGCATTGACATCAGCATCATCATCACCATCATCATTATCGTCGTCCTCCTCAGCGTCGTCTCCATCATGATCATCATCATCATCATCATCATCAGTATCATCATGCGCATCAGCATGGTGATGATGACCGCCATCATCATCGTCAGCATCATCAGCAACATGATCATCACCACGGCAATCATCATCATCATCCGCAGCATCATCATCAGCATCATCATCTGCATCAGCATCATAATCAGCATCAGCATCATCATCAGCAGCATCATCATCATCCGCCCCCTCCTTCTCATCATCATCAGCAGCAGCATCGAAATCCTCATCATCATCACCATCGTCGTCAGCATCATCATAATTATCATCATCAACATCATCATCATCATCATCATCATCATCAGCGTCGTCATCATCGTCATCACCAGCAGCAGCAATAGCATCGCCACCATCATCGTCCTCGTTATCATCCTGCCCGTCCTCCTCCTCCCGATCATCCCCCCATCTTCTTATACATTCCACTCCCGCTCAGGAGTGTGAACGTCACATTGCGCGACCCTTCCCTGCCCTCGTGCTTCGAGAAAGGCACCTGCCACGTCCGACGCTGAGCGAGCGAGCCTCCCGCCACGCACCTCCCACCTTCTCACAGTCCTTTCTCCTCCCTCCACCCCCCCCACTCTCCTCTCGACCGCCATCCGACCCCCTCATCCGACATTCAGGGAGCACACACCCCGCCACGCCGCCACGCACCTCCCACCCTCTCACGTTCTCCCTCCCTCCTCCCTCCCACTCTCTTCTCGACCGCCATCCGACTCCCTCATCCGACATTCAGGGAGCCAGCTTTCCGCCACGCCGCCACGCAACCCCCTCCCTCCCTCCCTCCCTCCTCTCGACTGCCTCACTACTCCCTCCTCTCGCCTCCAGCGTCACCGCCATAGCTACTTCCAGGAGCCCGTGCTAGTGCATGCATCCGCGTGGCTGCGAGCCCGTCGTGTGCCCTGCCTCGCCACTCCCCCCCTCCGTCCTCGCTCCAGCTCGGGTTGAACTCGTTCTCCCGGAGGAACTGGGCACCTGCTCGGGGTTGACGGGGCGTACAGGAGAGGGAGAACGAGAGGCAGAGAGAGACAGAGAAAAACGAAACAAGCTGTACGAATGAATTTGCATAATACTTACATCATGATGATCGCATCTACACATATATATTGGTGTATCTATATACATTTTTGGGGCAAGCGTTCCCTCTCCAATGGTCAGTACGCTCTGACGCCCCTCTAGACCCCAGTAGCGTTTCCGAAGACAGGCACCGCGGCCCCAGGGAACGCCGCGCCTCGTCCGAGAGCATCCGGCCCGAATCGGGGGGGGCCCCAACCGACCGCGTCGGCGGGCCCCCAAGGGCGGCCCCTGACCGCGTGCCGCCCTCTCCCCAAACGCTGGGGGGACGCCGAGTGTAGCCCAATTTCCCCTCACGTTGGCCCAACGGGCCGCTCTTAAGCAACCCCCCCGTAGTTCCACACCCCATCCTACTGGCCGTTAGGCCGGACCTACTTCAAGTGTGAAAGTTTTTCCCCCTGACCGTTCCGCCTCACCACCCTGCAACCCGCACCCTCTCTCGGGGCGATCGGGACGAGGGCCTTCGAGGGTGGGTCGGGAGAGGGCCGCCGCCTCTCGCCTGCGAGAGGACTCCGAGAGGTGGGGCGGGTGAAAAGAAGGTCTTAACCTCTCGCCTGCAACCTGAACACTTCCAAGACACCACCAGCACCTGTGGCCACGACGTCCCTGGCACGACCCCGCAACAGCTGCGTCTCGCCAAAAGCGGGGAGCCGGACCAGGACCCCCAGGAACGACGTGGCACACCACAAGCCGCCGTTGGTTTGCCCATGGGCGAGACAGGAAGGGGACCTCTGAGGCCAGACCTGTGGGAAAAAAAACGCCATCTCTTTGCCTACAGCCTGCGCCCCGTTCGGGACTCCGCCAGCACCTGCGACCGCGGCGCCCCTGTGCCGGCCCCGAAGCAGCTGCGCCAAGCCGAGATCGAGGGGCCGCCGAAACGCCCCGCGACGGCCCAGGACCCCCACAGGGACGCCGTGGCACCCCACAGACCAACGCTGGCTTGCCCATGGGGCGCATCAGGAAGAGGACTTCGAGAGGCGGGGCGGGTGAGGAGAAGACGCTGAAAAAATGCTACAGTTTTTGCACGCCGATCAGAATAGATACTGCACTAGGGCAGTTCGGAGAAGACACGCAGCGACTGGAGCCCCTGTCGGACGAGCGTCGCCTGCGCGTCACCGCGCTGGACCCGCACGAGGTCGGCCAGCGCACCCTCCACATATACACGGGCTGCGAGGCTGCTGGCCCAACGCCCGCGGACCAAGGTGAGCTTCATACTCTTGGTCCGCAGGAAGCACTCCGACGCGACGCCGTGGCGGCAGCTATGCCAGCTGAGCGGGCACTGGGAGCCGAGGCCCTCCACCAGCGCTGCGAGGGCCGCCCGCAACTTGCGCGGCGACCGCGCGCTGAGCCTGCCCCCATCGTCCAGGACGTGCGTAACGAGCCGCAGCAGCTGGAGGGCGATCGGCGCCCTGATGACGACCGCCTCCGCCGCCTCGCGCCCCGCGGAGACCTCGGGCGAGGCGACGCGGAGGACCGCGCACTGGCCGCGGAAAGCCACGTCGCCCCTGCAGAGCGCGAAGGCTTCGCCACCGCGCAGCAGGCCCTCGAAATCAACCATCAGGAGGCACGCGACGTCGACGCAGCCTGCCTGCAGCGTTAGGCCAGCCATGGCCCCGACGATCTCGGGCGTGAACGGGGGCACGCGCGCCGCGGGCCCCCTCTTCCGCCACGCCTTCAGCAGCGCCCAGCTCAGATCCAACCGGCGCCCATGGCGCGGGCCGAAGAAGCGCGCGCCCGCCGCCGCGTTGTTCGCCGCCGCGACGCCCGCGCCCGAGGCCCAGAGGACCTCCAGGCACCCTGAGACGAGCGCGTCGGCGCCCTCGCCCTCCTGGTCCAGCGCCTCGACGCCGCCCCCTGCGACGCCGCAGTGCACTAGCAGGGGGCCGACCGCGGCGGAGCACCGATGCCTCGTCGCGACGCCCGCGCGGAGCAGGAACGGCGACTGGGCCCGCAGGGCGCGCGGCCTCAGCCGAGCACGCGCGGCGGGGAGGCCCCGCGGCGCGGGGGCAGCAGCTTGGGCGGCCTGGGCGCGGCGGTCCTGAGCCGCGAGACACGCCGCAACCTCCTCGATGGTTCGTCAGCGGGGTTGTCCTCTGACACGACGTGGCCGACGACTGGGCGCATGTCGGCGGCCACCGCGACCGCGGCCCACCTGGCCAGCGCGGGCTGGAGGCGGCGGCTGCTGCCCCTGCCCTTCGTCGCGATCGCCGCGACGACCTGGCTGTCGACGAGGCGGGGCCACCTGCTGCCACGCCGACTCGCCTTGCGGGCGCGCCACCGCAGCGCCGCCGCCGCCGCCTGCAGCTCTCGGACGTTTATGTGGGCGCTCTTGGCTGCAGGCGCACCATGCTCAACACCGCGCGCCACCACCGCACGAACGGGTCGAGGCTCGACCGCGGCCACCGCGGCCTGTAGGGGAGGCCGCAGCCCAGGCGCACGTCGGTCCCGCCCTCCTCCACTCGGGCCAGGTAGTGCAGCACCAACCGTCGCGAGGCCAAGGTGTCTGGGCCCCCCAGCTCGCTCGCGCACCGCCCGATGGCGCCCCGCGACGGTCGGCGCCAGCCAGAGTGCACCAGCTCCTGCACCTCCAGTGGCCTGCTCAGCGCCTTCGCCTCCAGCAGCACCGCCTGCGCCAGCCATGCGACGACGTGGGCGCTGAAGCTGTTGCCCAGAAGGACAGCCCGAACGTCGCTGCAGTCGCGCTCGTTCGAGCCCTTCGTGGCTACCTACGGACGTGTAGTTTACATCGAAGCCGAGCATCATCTCCCCTTCCGGGCTGGAGGGGGGGGGGGGGGGCGAGGAGCGGAGCCCGCAGCGCTGTCCAGCAGCAAGTTTTTCTCCTCGCACAGGGCAACGCGATATCGGAACGAATGCGCCCCCCACCGAGCGCGCGCCGCCGCCGAGCCGAGGCCTGCTGCAGCCCCAGCCCTCTCGGGGCCGAGGGAAACTTCGGCAGCGGCCTGCGGCATGCTAGCGCTGAGAACGGGCCTGGAGCGCCCAGCCAACGGGCTCCCTCGTCCTGCCAGGCCACCTCGCAGAGGGGGCCCCTCGGCGCGCGAACCTCGCGGAACCCGTCCCTCGCGACCACGGCGAGCGGGACGGCGACGTGCGGCCCCCGGCTCATCCAGCGCAGCCTGGGACGTCGGCAGGGCACGAGGACGGACGAGCACACGAGAAAGGGCTTGACGCCGAGGGCTCTGCTGATCTCAGCCCGGTTGTCCGCCGTCATGTTCGCGACGTTCTCGACGAACCACTTCAGCACGTGACCGAACGCCACCTTGAGGAGCGCCAGCAAGCGGGGCACCTCGTAGAACAAGCCGGACGCGCAAGCCCGCGCCCGACGCGTTCAGCCTGGCCAGGTCCTGCCAGGGGCTGCCCGCGGACGGCGCGCAGAGGTCGACCTCGTCGCAGTAGGCGTCCCGCAGCTCGTTCGCGACAGCGGCCGCCACGTGCGTCACGTCGCCCCAGCCGAGCGCGCCTGGCCAGCGCAGGCGCACCGCCCTGCGCGCCTTGGCGTCCGTCTCCGCCGCGACGTAGCCCATGGCCCGCACGGGCAATCGCGAGAAGGCCACCGCCAAGCCCCCGATCCCGTCGAACAGGCCTGCGAGGAGCACCTTGGGCGTCCTCAGAACCGCGGCCCGCGGGATGAGGGGGTTGGCGACCGTCCAGGGCTCTGAGGGCTCGGCGGGCAGCTGCAGCAGGCGAGCCCCCAGGTGCATCTGGTCGTCCAGCGTCGGAGCGCCGTCGAGGCTGGCCCCCGCCTCGGCTCGGAGGCCCACTGACGCGCACGCGCCCCCGCCGAGCTCGGACGCGTCCGAGACCGCGGCCATTCTCTCGATCTCGGCTCGCAGCGAGGTCGTGGCCATCGGCATCACCAGCATGGCGGCCAGCAGCTCCTCGACCATCGCCGCCGAGAACCTGACGTTGCCGCGCTGCGAGCTCAACCTTCAGACCTCGTTGAGCACGCTGAAGAGGGGCCTTCGGAACTCGAAAAGCCGAGCGAAGCGCCCGAGGATCGGCATCGCGAGCCGCCACGGCACGGCCTCTAGCCCGAAGGAGGCCAGGCACAGCGCGATCGCTTCGAGCGACTTGGCCATGGGCGCGGCCAGGCGACCGGACTCGCCGACGACGTCGGCCCCCACGCGCTCGACCCTAAGCTGCCTACAGTGAGCCGAGTAGGCGACGCCAGCCCTGTCATAGCTGGCTCGCGATCTGACCTGCATCTCCGCCAGCGAGCCTACCAGGCGTCTGGCGCGCACCTCCTCCGCGATCTCGGGCGCGTCGAAGTCGGTGTAGACCTGCCGCCACGCTGAGTCTCCTTCCTCTGCAGCGGCGGCGACGGGCCGCAGCGCATCCTTGCGCCACTCCGCCTGCGGGGGCAGCCCCGCGCCCAGCGGCGGTGGCAGGCGGCGCAGCCGCCTGTGGATGCGCTGGTACACTGGGGCCGCCTGAGACCAGCCCTTCGCGATCACCATCGACGCGAGGCACACCTCAGGCTCTTGCCGCCCGAAGAGCGAGCCCGCCAGTGGCCGCCCCACCGCCGCGTAGCGGTGCCATGCACGGGGTACGCGCCACACGAAGGAAGCCTCCTTTCTTGTCGTCGCCCGACCAAAGGAGCAGCTTCCCCTCGGGGGTGCGCAGCGACGCCCAGCTCGTGGATCCAGCAAGCATGGCCGCCTCCCCTATGAGTGGCTCGATGAACGCGCTGCCAGGCACCATGTTCGGAATGAGCCTCGCGACGCGACTGGCCCCATGCCCGGGGGCGCCCTTCTTCTCCACAGCGAAGAGCCCGTTCAGCAGAGGCTCGCCGCGGACGCGGACCAGCTCCTCGGCGGGAAGCACGGTAAAGATCCCGAGGTCCACGATGTGCGTCGCCAGGGCCTCCCACGGGGGTCAGGGAA